CATCTCCACCACCAACGCGGCTTTTAAAAAAAAAAAAAAAAAAAAAAAAAAAAAGGGAGCAGTCTCTTTACTGTCCTCTGCGGTCAGCCTCCCATAACTCCCCAAGGAGACCCACTGACCTTGCGCTCCTCAGCTTTCAGTGCCGGCTGCCCTGCAGGGTCCACTGATTCTCCATTCACTGTAGGCAAGATCATGCCCTGGGTGAACTCTGGAAAGAGAAAGCCGCAGGTCTCGGAAGTTACTTCTTAGTAGCTGAGTTCTAGGGCTTCATCACAGGTCGACAAACACAACCATCTCAACCCAGAATGAGGTAATGACCAGAAAAGGAAGAGTCTGTTCTTCGTTTTTACCTTTGGTCTATGCCAGGTAGGTATCTGAGTATGTGCCCTACAACACAGTACGTTAACTGGGGTTACCTTAAAAAGCTGAAAGCCCCGACTCAAATGGAAGCATTACAATGTGTGAAATGTGCCTAAGGTCTACTACGGAGGGCAGCCAGTGAGTGGAGTGACTGCAAGAGTGAGTGACGGGCCCAGCTCCTACGGATGCGTGTCGAGCCCCCTGTGCCTTACCTTGTAACACAGCCTCAACTAGGTACCGGTTACTACAGCACCGATTTCCCCCCTAAGAAAGTATCTCCTGCTTTACTGGTTTCCCTTGATGGTCATTATACATACTCAAAAATCAAGGTCAGGACAAACGGGCAGAAATGGAATCCCAGGGGAGATCTGAGCTGACCTCTATTCTCATCTTCTGAATATCCCTGAAAATGCCTATCAAATACAGTCCAGGACTGTGCTGGAGCAGCGAGACAGGGATGCAAAGTCTTTAGATCAGTGCTGTCCGATACAATACATATGTGAGGTGTAAATGTAATTTAAAAATTCCTAGCAGTCAGGTTAAAAAGTTAAATGAAAAAGGTCAAATTTGGACACACACACATATATACACACACCAAATTTATATTTAACCAAGTCAAGTCCAAACTATCATTTCAACATGCTATCTATATTCAAAAATCACGGAGATACGTTTAGGTTTTTTCTTTTATACCGAGTCTTCAAAGTCATTGCTTTCGGTACCGAGCACATCTCGACTTGGGCCAGCCACTCTCCCAGTGCTCGACAGCCCAATCTTAGACAGCACAGCTCTAGACCGTTCCCTTTCAGAACTCCGAGACTGACTCTGACATGAAGCGACCCCCTCCCACCAAATCTTCACCCATCTGCCAAAGAAAGGACCGCCACGCCTCTCGTCAGTGCCTGACAGGTGGAAAACTACCTCCTCAAGGCATACGTTAACTACTCAAGGGATACCTGTTTTGAGGGTGCTGATGTAAATTCCCATTGCTTCTCTTAGAAGTTTCACCCCTTCTTCCTTCATTAAGGCCACGAGATTTGTGTCAGGCTCATCTTTGGCAAGGCTCACACTAATCTGAGTGAAAGATCAGAAGTAGGTGGTAAATAACTCGAGGGGCACCACATTACGGAATGTGGGTGCTGAGCAATCAAGTAACTGCTGACATTTCCAAAGGAAATGCACAAGGGCTGGGGTATTAGTACAATCCCCGTCAGGGCTCCCTCTCTCCTCTCTGCCAAAGCAAGGTGGCTGTTGTTAGAACCCATGTCACTACTAATAGCTAAAGCCAAGAAATTTAGTAAGTACAACGGCTCTAGAAGTTTCCGATGATACCATATACCTAGAGAATCACTGCAGACTGAGATTCTGCAGGCTTGGCCCAAGCCTGGGCTGTTCATCTTCAATGGCAGGTCATTTTTGTCATCTGAGAATAAGAGGACATGGAGGACTCAGATAGGAGTTAGAAAGCACACACCTCTACTTCATCCACGCTGTTTTCGTCTGACAAATTGGGGATCTCCACATGGCCCTTGTACTGTACTCCTGACTTAGAGGTACCTGTGAAGAACAATGCAATGTCATGAGTCTCGTCTGTGTGGCAAAGGTCTCCCCTAGAGAGTTCTATCACCTCACACAGGCATCCTTTGGGCATCAGAAGTGACTCTTGTTATTCTGAGGATGCAACATGCCCAATACCATCACCCTTCCTCCCTTGCTGAAGAAATGCCTATCCTCACCCGATCGATCACCAGAAACCAACTATGGTATTACAGCACGGGACTGAGAGCTACAGATTTGGTACCAGCATGAAATCTACCAGGGAGGGCTGAGATCAACAGTCAACACAGTTCTGCTGGAATGCTTGTCTAAAAACAGCACTGTATCCCAAAAGCGGCTGATCTATTAGGGAACAATGTGATCATGAGAACTTCACCTCTGCTTCTGTATGATTTCATCTACGTGCAGGTAAACACAGGAAGCCACACTCAGCTGAACTGAGCTGCACAGGAGGACCCAAAATACATCTCAAATGTGTCCTGCCAACCACCTCAGCTTACTGGGTGTGATGAGCCACAACACCCCTCCATACCTGGTGCTGTAATGTTCCCTCTGATTTCAGATGACTCTATCACTTTTTTTTTTTTTTTTTTTTTTGGAGAGGTTTTTGCTATAGAGTGCGTACGCTCACCAGAAAGACAGAGAGACATCACCTTCTCTAGGGATCTTGGGCATGCACACACACATGCCCGGCATGAGTTTAAGACACTGGGTCTGGGACTCAAACTGCAATCGACTACACGGGAGTCCAATGACATAGCCATTATGCCAACTGCTGGTCCCTCTTTCTATCACTTTTACAAAAGCTCTCAATCCTTCTGATACTGTTGCATGTAAATGTCACATCTTTTTAAAAATAAAATAGAGAAACAAAAAGCAGAAATCACCCCTGGGGGGGATGGCCATTCTGCAATCGCTTCTCCTTCATTTTCCTCCTGGGATCTTGGGCATGTACACATACACGACCAGTGTGAGTTTGAAGCCACCGGGTCCAGGACTTGAACTGTGGTCAGTCACACTGGAGTTCAGCAACATAACAGCTACACCGCTTATGTATTTGTTAACATTTACCACGTGTAAAACTGCGCTACCAACATTTTGTTCCTACATTTTAAAATACGTGTTGCTGATGAAGTTTTTGGGTATTGTGTCCTTGTAAATGCTGTGGGTTTTTATTAAGCGATACTGCCCAGTGCAGTGACTTTTTTTAGGAACACATAGTTGAGCTACAGCGTAACTGACTGTATTTTAAAAGTAATCAACAATTACCTTCACTTCTCTAGGCTGTTTCTCAATCTCTAAAAAGGGGGCTGGGTACAATGATACTTAAAAGTTCCTTCCAGACTACTATGTTCTAGGTGTAGTTTAAAAAGAAAGATCCAGGAGGAAAAAAAAGAAAAAAAGACCCAGTGGTGGCAGTGCTGGTGGCAGGGCACCACTGTGCCATACTGGAGCCGCAAAGAGGCCTAGGTTTACATTCTGGGTTGACCTGAACATGCCAGTGACTCTGGCTGGCTGGGAGACTGGCGGGAGGATTATGGTGAGAAACCCAGTCAAGCCTACTTTTCTTATTCTCTCTGCCTCATTAAGTAAAAATCCTTTAAAACAATAAGACGAAGACCATACATATACCTCCTTTCACCCCTCTTTATGACTAGTCACTTGAGAAATGTGTATTGAAGCACAAATTCAAAAAAAATTTTTTGAAGACTTATTTAATTAATCATTTATTTTTAATTTGACAAGAGAAAAAGAAAGTGAAAGTGAGAGAAAATGAGAAAGTCAGTCACCAGGTCCGGGACTCAACCCATGGCTGGTCATGTGGGAGTCTGGCACTTTCACCAACACCGCACCTGCTGACCCCGAAGTACAAATTTATTTATACTTAGTCTCACAGACAGGACAGTAGCTGTCACATACTCCTTTAACTCTGCCTTTTAAAAAAATTCAGCATCCCCGGCTATTAGGACCATTCAAGTGGGGCATATGGACGGCCCCAATTCTTTCCTAATGCAACACAAAAAAGACAGTAAACTAGAAAACATAAAATAGCGTTGAGTTACAGTTACATACAGGCTTTGCCACCACAGAGGTCCAACCTGCTAGAGAAAAACCACCTAATGTCCCACAGTGGCAGACACCCCAAAGCAGCAGTATTATCTTCTCCCTTCAAGAGAGCATCACTCTAAAAACTGTTCTAACTCTTCAGCAGGTTGACCAAAATGCAGTTAGCCTTGTTCCCAACAGCTTGGCTTAGACTTACCTGTCCAGTTCAGTTTGATGCTCCATTCATAAAAGAAGATAAGTTTGCCTTTGCGATTGTTAATGGATGCTTCTCCGTCAAGCTTACTCACTTCTGTCACCTCACACTTGCCTTCCTCATTTTGCACCCGCACTGCCAGGAACAGTGTTTTCAGCTTATCGGTGGACCAATTTGAAGCATCCCTCTCCGTCCTGAAAAAACAGAAACAAAGCTATGGAGAGCGGTCAAATGGAGGATACATTCTCTTGCTCTATGCAAGAGAATGCAAGGTTAAAGGCAGTCTGACAGTTTGAAAAGAACACAAAATCTCAGTCCTACTCTACTATGTCCAGGCCAGAGGTAGCATACTGTCAACAAAAACTACTACTGTATAAAACAGCACCAGCGAAATGGAAGATGCTCTCCTTTATCAGTATGACAGTGCGGGGCATTAATTGACATTTTAACTTGGTGCCCCTTTGACCAAGTGGAAAACTGCATGTATCTTTTTATTTTTTCTTTTAATTGCTGGAGGGTGCATGTGCTCACCAGGGAGAGACAGACAGGGAGAAAGCACCCCTTAATCGGAGTGGTGGTGGCCATGCCATAATTCCTTTACCCTGTCATGATCTGAGGGCCCAGCGTGTTTTCTTTTCTTTCTTTCCTTTTTAAATAGATTTTTGCTATAGGGCACTAGCCTGAGAGAAAGACAGAGAAAACGAGAAATCCTCCTTGGGGGTATGGCCACACCACAATCCCGTCTCCCGCATTCTCCTCTCAGGATTTGAGCACACAAGCACATGCACCCAGTGGGCGTTTCAAGCCTCTGGGTTCAAGTCTTGAACCACCATTGGCCATGTGGGAGCCCAGCGACATAACCATTATGTCATCTGGTGGCACCACCTGGCGTGTTTTTCAAGCTGCCAGGGAGGGACTTGAACCACTGTGGGCAGGTTGTGAATAGATTTGGTTCCCTGGACCACTAGGCTACACAGTTGGCCCAACACTGCACACGTTGCTGGGAGTCAGGAGCATAGGCTGCTCCACAGAACACAGTATTAAGCTAAAGGCCCAAAAGGGAATAAACCGGTCAGCCTGACCTCATTCACAGGGTTCTGAACTGTCAGACTCTGCCTATGCCATAATCCCAAACAGTATATATGCTCCAGATAACCAGAAAACGAGGCTTCAAAACAAACAAGAATTAGGTCCAGTATTCTATGTTAAATAGAGAAGAGTCAGGCTGAGATACACAAGAAAAATCACTACTTCCCTTCCTATTACAGAAAATAACAGCAAGAGCTCTAACAAAGTACAAAATACAGTTAATAGCACGAACGAACCTCAACAGAGTTCAAAAACAAAGACACGTTACTTCTGGACAACTTCATGAAGGCCGCCAGACTTTTAGAAATGGTCAGGTTTTAAATCCATGATTGCCCGGCAACCCGGAGTTACAACACAACCAACTTAACAGTTCCGGGTTAGAGGCCATGGCGTCTTCATTATCGCTAAGCTCTGAGCACCTGGAGAACACGTTCCAAACCTCCTCCCGCGGGGCTGAAGCTGTGGTCCCCTATTAGTGACTTTTAATTTCACTGTAAACCGCAGAAAGGGAATTACAGCTCCCGGCCGCGAGCCTTCCACTGCCATTTCCCAACACAATCGAAGGAGGCTGGGTCTCATTGACTGCTCCGGCCACGTGCAGGAAGCATCTCCCGACTCAGGAGGGATGCAGCAAGTACGGAGTTCGGTTTTCGCCTCGCTGAAATGCCTGTTCTGGGGCGCAGCCTTTCGCGTCGAACCTCACTCGCTCAAAACCCAAGACTGTGACCGGGAGTTAGAGAGGCGTGGGGCTATGGACCCTTGACACAGAAAGGCCTAATCCCCATCTCCGGCCAGGGGTGCCTCGGCCCCAGCTCTGCCCAGGTCGAGGCTCCTGGGGCCCCGACACCCTGGACCGGACACAGCGCTCCCGCGGCCTGCCTTGTTGGCCCTCACCAGTGCCAGTTGTTGACGTTGGTGGCGTCCGCCCGCTCCTCCACGATCCAGCGTGGGTCGCCCTCACCCCACTTGGCCATCGGCTCTCCTATCGCTCCTGCACCAGCTCCCGAGAAGCCGCAGCCACAGCCACAGCCTCAGGACCGCTCGGTCCCAGCCGCCCGGCAGCGCCTGGAAACTACTAGAAGCGGCCGCAGCACCTCCTGGCTTGCTTTTCCCTCCACCCCACCCCCTCCCCGCCTTAACTTCCGGCCCCT